TCAAGGCATACGCCGTTTGAGTTACCGTTAACGTTACCTTAGAGTACAACACTGCGGTTCGTGAATAACATCGTTATGTCGGTGCATCAGCGCTTGTCCTCGCTGAACTGTAAATAACCTTCCACTTCATCATTTTACTTACGACCTCATTAACTTGCATTTACACAAACAACAACAACAACAACAACACCAGTGGGCTGTGTACATACATATTTATTTAAGTATACGCCGTGGCATACTAATGGCAATGCCCACCAAGCAACATGAATAGGTACCGATACGCGGAAACTAAAATAAAATTCCATGTAAGCATGGCAGGGCGTAAAGCTAGGGCTGAGGCTGAGTCGACTGAGTCGAAGAATCAAGACGTCCAGTAGACAATAATGAGCAAGTGGCAGATAAGCAAACAAGCAAATAAACGCTGGAAAAAACAAATACAAACGATGGCAGCAACACATTTCGCTGGATGTAAAACGAGGACATAATGAACACAGTGTAAGGAGATAAGAGAAAGAAGGCGTAATAACAGCTGTACACGTATATACTTACAAATACGTAAAAGTAACTGCTGGAAATATGATGAAGATAAGACAGTTGGTGCAATGCTGGTGATGCCGCCTTAAATTGTTTCGTCGATTGTGCGAAATATTTAAAATATATAAAATCGACGTGGAGACTTTAAGTAAATAGTTTTGCACAACAGTGAATTTTTTTTCGAATTTCATTAAAGTTTTTGTACGAATTAGGTAAAGTGGAATTATAGGTATTTGAATATATTAGAGAACAAGAAAAAGAAAAGAGGAACAAATAGGTCCGCCAAATTAAAAAGCCCATATCAAGGTGACAAGGATAGCTACCTCTTTTCTTTGCTACTTTCTTTGTTTTAGAGATTATTTCATATTATGCTCTTCTTCTGTTTCTTGTACTACTTCTCTCCTCTTTTTTTCGTATACCAATTGACTCTCATTATCTTGCTTTTAACACTCTTCTATATCTCATGCCAAGCTTCTTCTCTCTTCTTTTCCCTTTTAATCATCTCATTCTTTTTATTTATTTTCTTTTATCTGTTTTTCTTTCATATTCTTTTATTTTATTTATTAAATCTTTTCTTTTTTTTCTTTTCTTTTCTTTTCTTTTCTTTTCTTTTCTTTTCTTTTCTTTTCTTTTCTTTTCTTTTCTTTTCTTTTCTTTTCTTTTCTTTTCTTTTGTTTTCTTTCCTTTAATTCCTTTACTTTTGTTTCATTATCAACCATTCTGCTCTCAGACCGATTTCACTCTGCTAATTCTCTTCTTTCACCTCCTCATTCTCATTTATCATAGTTTTTCTCTTATGTAGTATGAGCAGCACGAATGTCGCTTTGCTCGATAACTATTTATCCTGGTTTGAGGCAATTTATTTTCACAAGCTACTCTCGAGGCAAAGTCTTCACCAGTTATATTATTCGTTATAGACAGGAACAGATAGTAATCACTTGGTACGAAGTCCGGACCAGAAGATTGATGCTTAAGAACCTCCCAACCAAGCTCTCGTAGTTTCTGGAGAATGGCTATCGTTGTGTGTACTGGGACGAATACAATGAACCCAAGTTCATGACCATAAACACTATACACATTTTGAGCTGCCTGACTTGCATTTGCGCCTTTATCAAAAACACTGTATAATGCTGCCTTCCAGCTTTGCCATGCGCTCAAACACTTCTCTCTTTAGTATTTTTTTAGTACAAAACAACATCTTTCTATCGTTCTATCACCAAAGCCATCTATTGCAATTGACTACTCAGTCCAAAGTAGCACCTGTTGGCAAAAGTAAGTCTCAGTCACAACCCATTTGGGGCCAAGCGTGATTTTTACATCATGGCGGGGCGACGCTCATGAGTACGCTCCAGGCGCTCATAGAAAGTATACTTGTCACATCGTCAAATGACGACAGAGTCTCTCTTCCACTCTCTTCCACAGCTTTAGTTTAACGACGGCATCAAAAGCAGGGTATCTCATCAGAAGGGTTTTATAGTGCGTTAGTTTCTACATTTTAGCCTGCTTTCTCTCTCTAATCAACAAGGAAATTATGTATTATTATAAAGTATATTTAATAGACGACTGTACAAAGTTTCTTTTTGTCTTTCATAGTCCTTCATGGCTTTAAGAAATCAGCATTGCGTCTCATCTATACAACTTACCCGATACTTGATTCTGAGAACAACTACACAGTTCCTTCGTCAAGCAAATTTTGCAAGCGATCAATGCACTCAGTTCTTTAAATGTCACTCATTTAAGAACATCTTACACATACCTCCATTTATGCTTCCATACAAAGCGGTAATACCAAATAATCGCTTTTATCATTACAATAAACATTGAATATTCAAATGCCAAATGACGACATCAAAGAATAAATTGCAAACTGCAACCATTGCAATGGGAATTTATTGTCTCCTCTATGCTCTGCTCCGTGCATTATCTGCCGTTGCGCCAGTTCCTTTCTGTCTCTTAAATATGTGTTCCGTTTGATTTTTATGACCATGTGCCCTGCCAACCAGCAGAATCGGCCTTGAGTGAAATTCACGCCTACAAAGATACTAGTCACGTATATTGGAAAATACCACTACAGCGCACACAAACAGAATTTTCTGGCGTAGCCATTGTTGCCAATGATACACTTTTTTTCTATTAATAATAGTAGAAAAGGCCTTAAATGCAAATAATGATTTATATACAACAAAATTTCACTGAAACTTTCATCCGACGCCATCATTTTGTCATTAGATTACTTTTTAAGCCGGCCCATCGGGAGGCTTGGGTCACGGCTAAGAGAATGGTAACTTCAGGAGAGGCACTCCGACATATTTAGTTTAAGGATATACTACGCTAAATGTGGGACCCGCCAGGGCACTGGAATGTCCGGTCATTTCATTAGCAAGGTGCCGCTGCCTAACTTGGCATCGGCATTGGTACAACGGTCGGACAATTCGGCCTCCACTAGAAGACTTTCCTTAGTGGTATCGAAAGGTTGTTATTTGTAATGCCAGGTTCTTGGTAATTGGCTGTCACCGGATCGAAAGACTTAAAACCAGATCGACCATCTTGCTGCAGACAAGTGCAACCCAGGACGCCTGTCTACAAGCACCGACAAGGTCCGACATAGAAATATATCAATGAGTACAGAGAGTCAGTTGGAGTTTTCGATAGAAAGGTTTAGCTAATGATTTATAACCGTCTGCTTCCGTAGACTATGAAAGGTTGAGCCGTACGACATATTCGAAAACATTGACAATGCTCAGTAAATAAAGAGGCACCGTCTAGATCATAACGTTGATGAATGAATGCTATCCAGCGTTGAAAGTATCCCATGTAGTACCCGCTGGTGAAAGCAGAGTGGCGTTTCACCAAGTTACGCATAAGCGGTGCCTTCGTCAGTTAAGAAGGATGTATATGTATAGAGTACCGGGCACTTTTCGCGCTTTGAGCTGAGATTACGGTTCACGAAAGCGTCAAACTATTTACTCAAGCTATTCGTAAACCTAACCAAATTTGCTTCAGAGATGAGACACATTACTCGGCCGGAGGAGATGTAAATAAATAAAATTTGGGATTTCGGGACTCCTTAGACAATTGAAGATACGCAATTACAACCAAAATAATATACAGCGCTGTTGCGCTCTTTAGGTCGGAAATTTGGACCTTACTCCTTTGAAAACGAAAACGACAGATTGTCGTTGTCAATTTGGAGCGTTATCGTCATATTATGACCGACTTTTTTTTTTGGGCCGCATTTGACGTACGCAGTGTGGACAATATCTAGTTTTGACAAGATGGTAACACATGCCCCACAAGACAGGAGACTGTGAAATTTTGCGGACGCGTGATATCTCGTCCGGGCTGTGAATTTGGTCACCGAAATCGTGCCACTTGACATTGTTGCCCATCCTTTTGTGGAACTACGCAAAATAAAGTGTTTAAGCGGATAAACCGATAAACTTGAAAACTTACAACTCCAACGGATCAAGGCTGACAAACTTTAAAAAAAAAGAAATTTTATGAAAATAATTATTTTAAATAAATTTTATTTACATTTAGTTTCGAGCCGCTAACTGGATAACCCTATGTATTATATTTAAATAATTTATTTCGAACCCATTGCTGTCAAGTAGATCAAATATTAGAATATATTTTTATAAAAATTTATTAAATTTTTTTTGATTATCAATACAAGAGAAAATAGGGAAAAGAAATAAGGGACACACCTAGTGTGAAATTTCAAAAAAATCGATCTTTTTTCATATTTTGGTAGATTACGCCTTTAAAAATAACATATTAAAATTTCAAATCGATATCTCAAATAGTTTTTGAGTTATAGCAATTTAAAGAGCAGCCGCTCGGCAGCTAGAGAGCCTCATTAGCTACGAGTGAAAACGATCATTTTAACTTTAAACGCGTTTTTCTCGAAACAGCATTTTCCGAGTTTGCTGCAGTGATTACTAAAAACAAATGATCCGATATTTTTTACATGTTCTATATATAGTATCGATTTTTGTTCTGATCAAAAAATCGAATTTTGGCAGGCCAAAAACGACCAAAATTTTGAGTAAAATTCGACTATTTTTTTTAAACGCCGCCATATTGTCAATTTTTGAATTTTTTTTATCGTAGGTCAGACAGACAATATTATCTAGTAGAGAATTTTTTTTTTAGATTTCATCACTGCAGCAGTGAAGGATCTTTTTTTTTTCGCGCCGTTGGAGATCGACTATAACTCAAGAAATTTTTAATTTTTTTCTTCAAAAATTTCACTGTATTATCTTGAAACATGTATAAATATAATCTTAAAATTTTGAAATAATTTATAAAGTGTTTTTTTTTTTTAATAAAAACTCCTAAAAATCATCTTTTTTTTAGGCCATTACACGGTGTGCCCCTTAAGAAAAATATGTACAATAAAATACATACAGACATAGCTTGTTTAACATCTCTTCCTCTCTCTCTCTTCACTTCAACTCTTTCAGTGTTATTACAAATTATTTCGTCGTCTCGTTGGCCATGGCGGATATGCTGGTGGCGTTGTGTGCGATGACATTTAATGCGACGGTGGAACTGTCCGACGGCAAATGGCGGTTCGGACGCTTTATGTGCAACGTGTACAACAGCTTGGATGTTTACTTTTCTACAGCGAGTATTTTGCATTTATGCTGCATCTCGGTTGATCGGTAAGCCTTGCAATAAATTATACAAACAAAACAAATACAAGTCTATACATTTGCTTATACATATGTACGTACATATACATACATGCATGCATACATACGAGTCATAATGTAAATAATATCTTAGCATTGTTATTGTTTTCATTCAATTAAATACTTTTTGTGCGATTGGTTGGTTGCTTGTCCGCTTGGTTGATGATTATTTTATACTTTTAATGGGTTTAATTAAGGTGAACCATGCGGTCGATTGCTCGTTAGTCAATTGCTGGTATAAATAACTATACATTCGCAAATATATACAAATGGGCATAGCATGTTCTGGCATATAATGGCACATGCTGTATATATGTACAAGTATGTATGGCCGTGAGTAGCCCAGTTTCGCTCTTTTTTGCATTTTCAAGATATTTCACTCTGATAAACAGAGATGTTGGAATGAAAACGCTTTGAGAAAATAAAAATAATAAACAAATGAAAACTAATTACGTTTGATAAGTAAGCTCGTGGCAATATTACATTTATTCGCATGATAAAAATTCAATTCAATAAATTGCATCATTGCATTTTATTCCAGAGGAGGCAATTGAAAATTCTCCTGGGCAGTGCTATTTATTTTTTTCCTAGGCTGCTTATCAAGCTTATCATCATTTGGACAGACGACAAATATTTTTATGGACGTGAACTATTCGGATAAAGTTGGGAACCACACAAAGAAGGCTCTGGACTCTCGGAAGCCATTTATCAATAACCATTTTTTAACCTTCTATTCGAGAGATTTCAGAAAGTTCCCCAAAAGAGATGGAGCTAATCTTTACTGACCAATTTACTAGTCATTTTCCGATCATTCGGACCACATGACCTAGCCAGTGCAGCCGTTGTTTCTTGTTTCGCTGAACTATGTCAATGTCGCCATATATCTCATATACCTCTTCGTTTCATCGCCTGCGGTATTCGCCGTTGTCAACGCGCAAAGAACCATAAATCTTAGGCAAACGCTTACTCCCGAAAACTCCTAATGCCTACTCTTCAGATGTGGCCATAGTCCATCTACGCACCATATAGAAGGCCAGAAACGATTAGCGACTTGTGAAGTTCGATCTATGTTCGTCGAGAGAGGACTTTACTTTTCAATTGCCTTAAGTCCTTTAGGACATTGTTGTATGACTGTATGACTGTTCGTATGATAACAGGAGATATTTCTTCTCAAGCTCTTTCACTGCCAGACCCATGTTTTTCATTTCTTTAACCAGCATGGAGGTAACAAAACCGCACCGTGGAGGCCTCACTAATAAGGTCTAATCAGTTTCTTGACGTTGGGCTAATAAAATATGCTTGATAGGACCTTGTAGGCGATATTAAGGAGGCTTATTCCACGATAATTGGTGCAGATTGTGGGGTCTACTTTTTTATCTTCGTCCGACCATATTCTGCAAAGTAGCTGATGCATGCACCTTGTCAGCTCTTCACCGCCTTGTTGAATAGTTCTACCGGCAGGTCGTCAGCTACAGCCGCTTTGTTATTTTTAAACCGGGCGATTGCAATTCGAACTTCTTCATGGTCATGTAACGGAACGTCTTTTCCATGGTCATCGATTGTGGTCTCGGGTTCATCATCTCCTGATACACTATTCTTAGGCTGGAGAAGTGTTTACTTCATAAGTTCAAAATACTCTGGGCTCTCTGTGTCCTACAAGAGTCTGCTCCGGTCTTGAGACTTTCCGTAAGATGCCGTATCTTTTCGTAGAATTTTCGAGCTTTACCCTTGTCGGTCAGCTTTTCAAGCTCCTCGTACTCCCGCATTTTTCTCTGCAGATGCGTTTTGCTTCCCTCTTTAGCTCTCTCTCTCTCTCTATGTGTTGTGTTCGAGCGGAAGGTTGCGAGGCATTCCTCATCGTACCAGTGACCTTTCCGAAATCCATTAGTTTCGTTTGCAGCTGTACGTAAGGAGTTTGAAATGCTGTACCACAGGTCCCGTATACCAAGTTGCTGATGAGTACTCTCAGAGACCAGGAGTGTAAGTCGAGTAGAAAATCGTTCGGCAGTCTGTTGTGATTGGCGCTTTTCAACGTCGAACTTTCCTTGTATTTGTTGACGGGCATTCTGCGAAATACAGAGACGCATGCGTATCTTCGCTGGAAAAAGATAGTGGTCCGAGTCGATGTCGGGTCCTCAGAGTGTTCGAACGTCAAGAACACTGAAGACATGTCTTCCGTCTATCACAACATGATCAAAGTGGTTGTGAGTTTTCGATCTGAAGACAGCCAAGTAGCTTAATGTATTTTCTTGTACTTGAGTCTAGTACTACAGACAACTTTATTTCGGGTACCGGCGAAGAAGATCAGCCTCAATTCATTAGAGGCTGAATTTTCCGACAGTCGTACAAAAGATACTTTCTATGCCCTGGCATTAAAATCGCCAAGAACGATTTTCACATAGTGTCGGGGGCAAGACTCATAAGTATGCTCTAGGCGCTCATAGAAGGCATCTTTGGCCAAATCGTCCTTCTCTTCTGTCGAGACGTGGACGCAAATTAACGATATGTTGAAAAATTTCGCTTTGATTAAGATTGTGGTGAGCCGCTCATCCACTAGGGTGAATGCCAGTACTCGACGACGGATTCTATTTCCCACCACAAATCTAACACCCAATTTGCGCTTCTTTATATAGCCGCTGTAGTGAATGCCACAGGAACCTACTCGCTTTCGTCCTTATCCCGTCCATTGCACTTCTTGGACGGCGGTAATGTCGGCCTTTATTCTTACGAGGATATCAACATTCCAGATGCATGTCCTCAAATTCGTTTGCGGGAGTCGTCAACTGAAAGGGTTATCTCATCATGGAACTGGTTCCTACGTGGCGGGTCCCTTACACAGCGCACAACCTCGCTAAGGGAGTAAAAGTAAATGTTTTTACAAATTTATATAGTGAGCTACTTGCTTCAAGACCAACGCCCGCTCGCAGCCGCACCTCTGATGAACAGACGCTGCAATTAGGCTTCAACGGATCATTAAACCGAATAACTCGGCTCCACTGAAGCTTCCCCTCTCATTAACCGTTAACACGGATTGGTTACCGCATCTTGCACAAGGGTTGCTCACGTTTCCAGAGTGCGCGACATGGACACAGGAGCAGGAGAAGCTTGACTACACCCCATTTCACCCCAAAAAAAAATTCGAATAACAAATAGTCCAATTATTCCTTTGACTTTCAATTATAAATCATATCAAGCTAACTCTCACGCTGTTGTTCAATTTATTTCTCTTTTTTCGACCTTATGGCTTCTCAATCGAAGTCTATGCATAACAGCTTAGACTACCGCTCACAGGGGACAAATATTTGGAGGCCAAGCGCTTATTCCAAACTCTAACACTCGATCTTCTGCCCAGAAAGGAGCATATTAATTTTTTCTTTTTAATGGGATTATTATTTCATGTGGTGTGTCCCAAACCCTAGGCGCAACCGTAGAGGAATTCGCCTTCTCACTTTAGCTTGCCTCCAAACAGATGTTATTTGACACTTCTAACACGTCTAAGACCGAAAGCCGTAAGCTACTTGAACCATATGTAAAAGAATCGTTTTTAACCACTCCCGCGTAAATAACAGCCAAAAACTTGCTTTACTAGCGTAAACTTATACACGGAGCTTAACTCACTCATCACTCCCGTCCGGAATCTTCAACAAAAATGTTTTACAAATGTTTTATGATCCTTTGTGCATTGGAAGCAACGAATACCGCAGACGATAGGCTAGGTCATCTCGTACGAATGAATGAAAGTGTTCCAACTTCGAAAGTATTCGATGCAATACCGAAAGGCCTTCACTCCGTTTTTCACTTGGTATTTTAAAATGGTGCCACAAAGCGAAGAGAATAACCGAATGACGCGCTATTGTTGATTCGGCTATAATCGCATAAGCGGCGTTCACACCAATGAAAAAGAAAAACTTACTTATTAGGTCTAGTAAAAAGTTCGTTCGGTTTTTTATTCATTTTTCAAAATATGATAACTTTGCGTACATTTATCCGATTTAAGCCAAGCATGCGCCGTTTTGTTCGTAAACTTGTTGCCAACGAGATTCCAACTTCAATATACCCCTCGTATAAGGCTGCGTCCCTGGAAGCCAACTTCTCACCATTAAGCGCGTTCGCCAAGGACAGGAAATGATGGCAATCACTTGAAGCCAGTTGCGGACTATAAGGAGAGTGCATTAGGGTTTCCCATACGAGCTCCGGGCGCTTCTGGCGCATCGCCAAAGGAGTGTGTGGCCTGGCGTTGTCGTGATGGAACACAATTCGGCCTTTGTTGATCAAAGATGGCAAAGAGGGTTATCAGCGCCGCATAGTATGGCATGATGCGACACGAAACACTATTACTATGAACAATAACGCCATTTTTTATTTAAAAACCGAACGAACTTTTTACTGCATCTAATATTTTAATGCAAGACACTACTATTTCTTAAACTCCCATTGAACAATACCGTCAATGGCTTATACCAATCCAAGAAGGTGCCGTTTATCTCTTATTTTAATATTGTAAACATTACTATTGTTAAATTATAACAACAATTTTCTATTTGAATTCATCCTTAAAGGCGGTAATCACTTCCGTGAAGGAGACTTCATGCACTTTAAATAAACATTCGAAAATATCTTCATATTTAATTTTCAACTCTTAATCGGATACTTCATGTCAAGCCACAATTGGCTCCACACAAAGTGCGCCCATTAATCAATTTCAATATTAAATCATATCCACTTAGGCTGTATGTACATTGTACACATGTAAATACCTAAGGAAGTGTACTCGGTAGCCTGACTGTAAGAATGTAAACGAGTGGTTTTTGTGGCTTTTCGGAGAGTAGCTTCTGGAATTTCCTTTCCACTTACACTTTCACTGTTAATTACAAATTTCCTCTTTCGCACGTTTCGTGTGGCTAAAGGCCAGCTGCTAGCAACTACCTGCGCAAGCTGTTAACCAGCTTAAAGACAGCTCCAACCACTGCATCAATAAACAAGTGGCAGTCGTAGCAGCCACGCCAACAACACACCGAGTTAGCAACACGTTTCAGGAAGGAAAATTAATTAAACACACCACACAGTGTTCTTCGCAACTGAAACTAGAATCTGCACTCACTCAATGTGCGAGTGCGTAAAGCAAAGAGCGCGAGGAAGACAATGAATTGAATATTTTGAATATTTGTTTTGGGGATTTATGCTATGTCTTTGAGTGCAAAATGTTGATAAATGACCACACAATGAGTTCTTAAGTACAACAAATACTAATACCACAAATATTTCAGTTTCATATACAAGTACGAAGGGTGTTTTTAGGTATGTGGTTTCCAAGAAGGAATAAAACGCATATAATTTAATGTTATGGGGAAGTATTAAGCATTATTATAATGATAAGGCTGTGCCATTACGTTTTAAAAATGATGTCGGGCAAGTAACGTCTAGCTGAAGTAAATTTCAGTAGAGAGCTCCAATTTTCGATCATTTTTTGCAGCAATTGGAGTCGTATGTCAGCTATAACCCGCCGAATATGGTATTCAAAGGTATTAACCACCGCGGATTCATCGACGTAGACAAGCGAGTTTACATAACCACACAAAAAATAGTTCCGTGGTGTAATTTCGCACGATCCTAGACGACAAGCATCAGATCTAAGACACGACATAATACGCTCACCTTAAGTTTCCTACGATAAATTCTTTGTTTCTTTGGATGTTTGGCATGTAGCGCCGTCTTGTTGGAACCAAAGATCGCCCATATCAATATCCTCCAATTTAGGCTTGAAAAAGTCATCGATCAAAGCTCCATATCCTACGATTATGGACTCGTAGAGCACACCAAATCAGTATTTTGAAAATGTAAAGGCGCTTCAGCAATGTCTTGTGGATATTCATCACTGTAATTCCGAACTTTTTTTATAAAGATATCCATTCGACCAAAAGTGAGCTTCATCGCTGAAATAAACAACCTTGTTAAAATCGGGATCTCGTTTTGTGCTCATTCACGGAACGTACGTTGCGCTTGATAGTCGTTCGGCTTTAATTCTTGTACGGGTTGGATTTTGTAAGACCGCAAGCCAAGATCTTTAAGCAGAATCTTCTAGAAAGTGGATGGAAACAGCTGCAATTCCTACCCGCAATGGCGGACTCACTCATTCGTGTCTGCTTCAATATTCAATATTCTCCACTGAGTAGTAGCTCCATTCTGAGTAGAAATCGAGTAATAGCTGTCAAAAGAACAAACTCCGAAAAAAGCATTGCCTCAATGACAACCGCACGTCAAAAAAAATCACCCTTTAACTAAATAAAATAGTCATGAAAAATAATGATGTGACAAATGTAATTTGATTAATGAGATTTCGTCAAATGAGGCCGCAAATGACAAACGACAGTCTGTGGCCGATTAGTTGGCTTTGATAACGAAGAAGCTAGTGGGAGGGAGACAAGGCAAGACGTTGAATTTTACCTGTATTGTTTCTCCTTTTATGACTTTTTTTGAAATTGCTTATATATTTAATACTAGTTCTTACCCTCCTATCTTTCCTCTAGATATTATGCCATCGTTCGGCCACTGGAATATCCACTCTATATGACAACAAAAACCGTTTACTTTATGCTCGCTAACGTTTGGATATTGCCAGCTTTAATATCGTTTACGCCCATCTTCCTCGGTTGGTATACGACGGCAGAGCATCAACGTGAGACTTTACTACATCCGGATCAGTGTTCGTTTGTGGTCAATAAGGCGTATGCGCTCATATCGAGTTCCGTCAGCTTTTGGATACCGGGCATAGTAATGCTTTGCATGTATTGGCGCATATACAAGTAAGTTGTGTGTTGCTGTAGGGGAGCTTCTTGGAGGTATTTAAGTATGTATGTATGTATGTAATTTTGTTGGTCTTTACAGAGAGGCGGTACGTCAACGCAAAGCATTAAGCCGCACTAGCTCGAATATTCTGTTAAATAGTGTACATATGGGTCATACCCAGCATTCGACAAATCTGAGTTATCTGCATCCAAGTGATTGTGAATTAAGCACAACGATGGCGAGAGAAGAAACGCATAGCGCTATAAGCAATCTTGAGGTGAGGAATTCAACTTAAACTCAAACTTAACTCCAACTTAAACTTAAACTCAAACTTAAACTCAAACTTAAACTCAAACTTAAACTCAAACTTAACTCCAACTTAAACTTAAACTCAAACTTAAACTCAAACTTAACTCCAACTTAAACTTAAACTCAAACTTAAACTTAAACTCTAACTTAAACTTAAACTTAAACTCTAACTTAAACTTAAACTCTAACTTAAACTTAAACTTAAACTCTAACTTAAACTCAAACTTTAACTTAAACCTAAATTTAAACTTAAACTTAAACTCCAACTTAAACTTAAACTCTAACTTAAACTTAAACTCTAACTTAAACTTAAACTTAAACTTAAACTCAAACTTTAACTTAAACGCAAACTTAAACCTGAACTCAAACTTTAACTTAACCTAAAACTTAAATTTAAACTAAAACTTAAACTCGAACTTAAACTTTAACACTTCTTAAAAATAAACTTAATCTTACACATAACATAAAAATAAACTTAAAATTAAATGTAAACCTTATTAAACATAAACTTGAACATAAGCCTAAACTTAAACTTAAACTTAAACCCAAACTTAAACTCAAACTTAAAATCAAACTTAAACTTAAACTCTAACTTAAACTTAAACTCTAACTTAAACCCAAACTTAAACTTAAACTTAAACTCAAACTTAAGCTCAAACTCTAACTTAAACTTAAACTCAAACATAAACTTGAACACAAATCTAAACTTTAACTTAAACTTTAATTTAAACTCAACACAGATTTATATTCGAACTTAAAAGAACTTTAAATTTCAACATAAGTTAGGTTTAAGTAAATTAAACCTAAATTTAAACTTAAACTAAAACATGAACTCAAAAATTAAATTTAAACTTAACAAAAATTTAAACTTAATCTTCAATCAGATTCAAGCAACTTAAACTTTAGCTTTAACATAACATAAATGCTAACTTAAACTCGAATCTCGTTTCAAATTTAAACTTAAACTTATGTTTAAAGTAAACTTATACGTAAACCTTGACTTCCGTTTTTCATATTCGGAATCTTATATATCCTAAACAGGACATCCTACCGCAAACAACCGACGATGACGATGATAAAGACGAAGGCGATGAATTACGAGTCCCTGCACCACCACGCCGGCTCAGCCGCAGCAGCATCGACTTGCGCGACTTAGAGCAGGAACGTTATGAAAAAGTTACCCATACCGACAGTGCGCCCTCTATGATAGCTTTACACTACGCCGCACAACAGCAACAAAATGAGGATGGTAACGCGCTTAATCCGCAAATATGGGCAGAAGGTTTGGCAGATCTACAGCAATCCGTGTACATTACCAAAAGATCTGCCTCGCCAATTAACTCTAACCAAAATTCACCCAAGCACTCACCTAGTCATCGTCAAGGCTCTAGTAGCAAGCTGAAAAGTTGTGATTCTGATCAATATCAGCAGGTATTTGGACTACTGAGCGACGACAGTGAGTCCAACGAGTATTACGACAGTATGTTAAATTTGAAAGTTAAGCAACAGCAATTGCAAGCGCCGACCACCTGTTTGCCCATCGCAGAAGATAATAAAGAGCTTAAGCGACTGATCGAGGATAACTATTTATACTTCAAAAAGCAAATAGTTGGACAAAACTCCACTCAAAGTGGTGAACAGCACGCCTCGGGGAGTGGTAAGTTTCCAGCGCGGAGTGAAACTGATTTCATTAGAATGAAAAATGGTCGAAACCGCAGTCGTAGTAGTGGCAGTAATGAGGAAACGGCTAAGAAACCTTTCGCACTAAGCGATTCTGAGTTCCTTAAGACTTTGGCCGACTCAAGAAGTAAACGAAAACAACTCGAATCGCTAAAGGAAGGAGTTGTAAAGGAAGAGAAAGAAAAAGAGAAGGAAAAAGGCTTCACTTTCAAAGGCCTGCTAGCAAAGACGAAACGATCGAGTACGGAGTGTTTTTCTATCGAGAAGAAGCGTCAACAGGCCACATCCGAAGAAATACGCAGCAGTCGCGCCCAACTCTTTCGGCGTTCACGAAATCGCAAGCTATCACATAGTTATAATGGTGGCATAAGTCGTAAACAGGAAATGCGTTCACGGCAGCACAGCGACACGGACTCCGAAGCGGGATTCATCTATTACTCTTACACATTGGGTGAGAGCCAAGAAAGTTCGGCAACACGCTACAACACACCCGATATTTTGCTCGATATCAATGTGCTTAATGAACAAACAGACGACTCACTGAAGGACAACATCTCGGTGCGCACACACGAGTTTGAGATAACCACCTCACCACAAGGTACCAATAACAACAATGGTTCCGCGCAACTTATTGACTTGGGCGAGTCACAAGAAGTTGCATTTAGCGGCTCAGATGACTTCTCCCAATATACCGACTGCCTAACCGAGTCCCCACACATACCAGCCACACCGCCGCCATCACGTTCGCCTTCCTCATTAATTGAACCCATAGTTCCTGAACAATTGCAATACCAAAACCAACAACCCATACAATGCGCCATTGAACTGCCGGAGAAAAGCAATATTCTCATTACCTCGCGCACAGACCTTGTCGAACTATTCCGTTCGTTAAGCTTTCCCATCGCTGAACTGGGTCACACTAACACCACCAACAGCGGCAACGACTCACCCCAACGTAAATTTCTGTCAACCTCCAACTCCACCGAATCCAAGTCAGGCAACTCTGCGAAACACTTTAAACAGCGACTAAGTACGTTAAGCGATCAGGTGCTGGTGACGAAAAATAGCACAAACTTTTTAATGTCCCCACCGGCAACACCAAATTTCAATTCTGCACAAAACCTACCCACGACTAAGACGATTTCATACCCCAACGCACCAAGCAATACGGTCAATGTCTACTTCCTCTCACCGCCACCAACAGCCACGTTACCACAATTCTCAAACAGCTCACCCACGAGCAATCCTTTTCCTAGCGACACGTCTACAGTATCCTTGGACGTGCTTACCACGCTGCCAGTGCCAACGCCGCCGTCGTCACAATGCCAACAGACCTTGGCCGTGCACGCAACTACTCAGGTGTCGCAATGCATGTCGCCGAAGCCAGAAATCATACTCGACTCTACACTCTCACCCACCTCGTTGCATAGCGGTAGCAATGGTGATATTGATGGCGGTGATGGAGGCCTATTGACCGGTGAGGAGCGAGATTTAACATCACCTTTATTCAAACGTCACGACAGCGAACCAGAAACTACGTCCACAGCGGTAGCACAGTCAGTACGTCATCGTGGCAGTATTCTAGCGGGCGGCAGTGGCGCTTATAATGGCAATAACGGTCAATCGGTGCGCAAACGTCAGGCTTCGGTGGTGACGTACGATGTCAATGTGATTAATTTTTCACAGGACAACAGTGATAGCCGCAGCTACATACCAATGGGTCGAGTATCGACCAGTTCAGCAAGTAAGTAATGCATGTTTTACAACACGGCCACAAGCAGAGCTGATATTTCTTGGCGAATAGCGCCAACGTCAACAACAAACAAAATACTATTACACCACCATCACCAGCATTGTCATAAGCAAAACATTCATCCATAACCACATACCGTTACTACCTTGCCCACCGCAATCATCATTTAGCCACAAATAGCTTTGCTCAGGTCATGAGACCCTAGACTATTATAGACCATGCTGATGCCGCCAATCATTTGCCGGTTAAAGTCATTACATACACATAAATATAACCGAGTGGGTTTATAATTCCATTATGCTGTTAATATGTACAAACGTATGCACAAGAATTGGTGCATAGATATATAAATTTAATACGTACTCGTACTCGTGCTCGTACTCGAAGACTCGACGTAATTGCGCCAATTAGGCGGCTCCATATTGCCATGTTGGCCTCAAAACGGTTGTACATACATATGTGGCTGGAGTTCATGGTTCCTGTTGGTCGCATGGTCACTTGGTCGCTTGATTTTTTTCTCTCTGTGTATGTGTGAATGTGTGTGTGTATGCGTGGTATTTCACTTTGGCTGTGGAGTGAATCCTCCTTGGCTTTTGTATGCTCACTTTCTCTCTATCTCTCTCTTGCTCTTTTTCCATCTCTCTGCCTTTCTCTCCCTCTCTATCTCTCCCTCTCTATCTCTCTCTCTCCCTCTCTATCTCTCTCTTGTTAATTTTGTTATTGTTGTTGCTGTTATTTTGATTTTATTATTGTTAATTTAATTTGATTTCTTTTCATTTATTCACATGCGCACGCACACACATACACACATATATAATTTAGTTGTTAGTTTTCTGTTGTACTTACCGCACCTTGCCACACTGTTTCTGTGCTTCTCCATGTCGTTAAGTCGTAAAAGTGGGCAGGGCACATACATATGTATGTTTGTGTGTGGACATAAAAATATTTATAAAATTGATAGTAGTAGTGGTAGTAGTACATATGTATATAAACGTCAGCGTCATTGACATTTGTGTCACAAGTCGAATAGAAAGTCACGCAATTTTATTCATAAATGTTTTAGAAGGCTTTCAATTGACCTAGAAGTACAAAATATAGATAAGAAGTAGGTATTAGCACACATACTACACACAAATAATATTTTCATGGTTTTCACGGCTGTTGCAATACCGAACCAGGCGGAAAAGCAAAAGCAATCGTTACTCGAACCTCGTCATAGACGAGTAATGGAATGTCTTATCGGGTACACAATCCCCAGCAGGCTGAAGAAGTGTTACCTTCATTATATTAGCATGCTCCGATCCTGAAACATTCTGTGAGCCGCCACATCTTTTCGTAGAATTTACAAACATTTCGGTCTCTTTCTTTCTTGTCCAAAATTCTGTCTTACTTGACCTCTACGTATTGTGTTCGATCGTAACGGTGCGAGATAAGCAGTATGCATTCTCTCTGCTGCAGTTCGTGATATCTCATCGTACCCGTTCTTTTTCTGCCCCGGCCAAAAACCAATTGTTTCCGCAGCGACGATACGTAGAGAATATCCTAAAAGAAGATGATCAATCTGGTTGGCAGCCAAGTAGCTTTATGAATTTTCTTGCATTGGAATTTCGTACAATAGACGAAAATATTTCGGGCCTCGACGAATTCGATCAGCTTCAGTCGTCCCTTGAAGATGTTTTTCATCGTGGCGTGCAAGCGCTCATGGCTGAGTTCCATGTACTCTCTAATCTCCGCAGCGTGAGCGCAAATATAGGTATAGAAAATTTATACTTTGATATGGATTGTGGTCTCTCCCATAACAAGTCGAGCACCAAATTTGCTACTCTATATTATAGCTTTCACAGCGTGCCACCGTTTTCGTTCTCTGTCGTACAGCAGTTTTCTTGTACAGCTGTGATGTCAGCCTTTGGTCTTATGAGGACATCAACGAACTAGCGGGTCCCACATCCGAGGCTTTGTATGATTTTTCAAGGTAGTATAGTTTTCTTATGGTAGATCTCAAGTCCTACGGACAATTCCGTCTGGTGCAAGGGACGAGTCAATAATCAAACGCGCAGTTTTTAACCGATGAAGTAGTACATGAAATTTTCATTGACTAATAGTAAATGTTTATTAAATCAAAAAAAGAGGGAAGGAGACGCATAAAAGAGCGTTGATATCAAATTTTTATACATCATCTGGACATCTGAGCTGTAAACCTCCTTGATGTCGGAGACTAGTTGTAGATAAGGCAAGAGAGTAGTGGTGTTCCATCCCTTCACTCGTGCCTTCCTTGCTTCACTTTCCGTATGTGACACGGTTACTAATACCTATTCCGTTCGAGGCTGTGATCTGTCGTTGGGACAACAACCGCCTTGCACCTTTCGAGGTTGTATGACCAACCTTTGCGTTAAGTCTAAAATGCGTTAAAGCAATTCATTTTAGCCTTATCAGTCTTCCAGTCCTTTCCGAAATTTTATTGTATAGTTTTTTGAGCGACTTTTGTAATTCATGTACTAGTTTGGCTATTCCATCAGCTAGGCTACACCACCCGCTCTATAAATAATATTTTATGTGTTCTGCTGGCGAACTGCCCTCTTACTTAGGCGAGTTTAACAGCACCATCCAGTTTTTGGGCATTGAGAACACATTTTTCTCTATAGTAGCTTCTGAATCTGCCGTTCGTCCTGTGCAATTTATTTTCGTTTGGAGCTTGCTTGCCGTGATGAAATTACGGGCAGGTCTAAGGCCACTCTAAATACCTTAACCTTTGCTCAACATTATATATTCTCGCGTGAAGAAAGAGCTTTTCTGAATGCTTTCATCCACACCCTGAAACCTTACTCTAATATAATGCAAGATAGAATTATTTCCGATTGGATTACAGTGAGCAAAATGGTACTGTCATTTTTGTTTGGGCTGAGTTCTTTGATTTCAAAATCCATCTTTTTACTTGATTATCAAATTTAAACGAAAAATGGTTGATAAACCTGCTTTCCCACTAATATCTTTTGAAAGTACTACAACATAGGAATTCAGCTCTCTCCATAAAATTGAAACACCAAACTCACTGTTCCAGCAAATGAGACGAGACCTTTTCAAAGTGCAGAGTACATGAGTTTCTCAGGAGAACTTTAAGTTTCTACTCTCTTAAAATTTTGTTACAACCTTTTTTTTTGTTTTTTGTCTCTTTGATGGACTTCGATGCAAACTCTTTTTATCAAACATAAAATCGTTTGTTCCCCTGATCGGTCATTCATTCAGCGGAGGGATTTCATTCTGCCCTACTGAATTGATGGTGAGTCCACTTACCACACACAAACTTGATGTTGCTTAGCTGAGATCAGACCAGGCGAGTGGTTAGAAAAAGCGAGATTCAATTGCTCGTAATCCGCTTATATAAGTGTTCGGTTTCATAACTCTCCATTAGGAGGCGCATTAGCTGTTCTTGAGTATAATTGACTTTCGTTTTCAGTGCTGTACTGTAGAATCCTTTCTCAAGAGGCACCTCCCGCAGCTTATTACAGCGAGTAAGCCTTGTGTACACACCAAAGCCGTTGATTCAATCCGGATCCACTTCATACTCATACAACATCTCTTTTCATTAGTCCTCACACATTCTACGAGTTCAACACAAATTTGCTTTCATAAATATTTATTACATCGCTTTTATGCCCCTAATTCCCCACCTATTTGGATCTAGCCAGTATTTGGAAGAGAAGCATGATTTGCATGCAATTTATTTACATTACTTCAATGTATTGTAAATATCTTTGACTATATCAAAATTATTTCCTAAATTTTAAACATACATTTATTGAAAATTTAACCCTCTATCAACTTCTGTGTCATTTTGTCCCTCTCGCCAAACTAATTTACTTTCCCTTACTATACTTTAGATTCATTTCATTTATTTATTTATTTAATAATAATACTTCAACGAAAAAAAAAAATAATAATAAACAATCTAAGCCCTCTTCTCCTACTTGTTATTGTAAATAATTAACATTCCAATATATACATATTCATATATATATATATATATATATTATTCCCCTGTATATTTTTCGTACCTTCACCAAAAACAACCAATCAATCAACCAATCAACAACCCCTCAAACTCTTGCTACTCTCCAATAAACTCCAAAACTTCAACTCGTCCAAATATCCGAATACGAACTGAAATATTGAATAAATATACTCGTATGTATGTAACTATATCGCAATCGCTACGACCACAACCGCAATGCAACTCTGTGCACCACCAACGCCTGTGATGCCTCAACTAATTCACTAATCCCAAATCAAATCCTTCGTCTAACATGCCAACTAATCAATAACGGAAATCACCGCACTGCAACTCCGCTGTACAAACATGCATACAATCAATCGATCAGTGCCCGAGCGTCCGATGGAGGTTGATTTCTCCCAAAAGTCGTCACTGAAACGACGCGGCGGCATTTGTATATTTGTCGACGAAGAAGAGGCCGTTAATGTGATTGAGCAAAAGACTGGTATTGGTAGTCAGCAAGCTAAATGCATCACTTTCGACACTGTTAATGTCGGCTACGACAGCAGCGATGCGACTGGCACGAGAATCTCGAAGGCAGCAGCTGTTAAGTGCCAATTGTGTGGTGCCAATATGCGGTCGCAATTACGATTACCCGCACCGCCCGACATGCGACAGAGTCAGGGGCAAGGTCGTAGCAATCGAAGTGGTAAACGTTTTTGGCATACGAATCATTGGTGGCACAAAAGAAAGCACAACCGGCAACAGGGGTCGGCGGGATGTCAGTGTGGCGCTACCGGTGAGTGTTGTTGTTGACGGGTGAGAGGAGTGAGCACGTGTAGTCTCATATGTGAGATGAGATATAAAAGAATGCAATGCAAATGCATATCAACACAAACATACAAACATGCATATAAATATACATCGTACATATGTATGTAGTAAATTGAAATGGTCAGTGAGGAATATTAAGTAAATATTAACTTAAAACTGCTGCTTGTACTTTTCACTTAGTTTCTAAATTAGTTAAAATGCTTTAGCAAATATTTTGCATTCTCATCTTAGTTCTATACACATACATGCATACATAAAGGGTTTAGTTTTTTTATACATGTGGTTTTCAAGAAGATTTAAAACGCATAAAATTTAATGTTAAGACCAACTGACCGCTGTGGCTGTCAGCCGAGAGGTCCATAACAAATAATCAAGCGGTGTTAAACCATGAAGAACACACCATAGGCCCACAACGAGGTGTAAAGTCCTTACCAAAGAAATAATTGATTCATTGGCCGTATTGCAGGAAACGTCGTCTTGTTAGAATCTTAGGTCGTCCACATAAACATCCTCCAATTCAGGCACGAAATAGTTAGTAATCATTGCTCTATAGCGTTGTCAATAGACTGTAACATTATAGGCCTCTGTTCACAGAGAGCACACCAAATAGTGACGTCTTGAAATGGCGCCTTAATAATGGCTTGTGGACTATCCTCACTCCAAATGCAATTAAAGGCGAGCTTTATCGATAAATAAAGATTTGTTGTGAAAATTAGGCTCTGTGGCTACCGTATTGGACCCATTACCCGAACGTACGTTATGCTTGATGGCCGTTCGGTTATAATTCTTGCACTATTTGAATTTTGTAAGCCAGATCAATCAACTAAGATCTCTTCGCAAAATCTGCCATAAAGTTCCAATTGTTCAGCGGCATGGCTGATGGACTCATTCGGGTCTTCTACGATACTCTGCTTGACAGCATCAATAGCATCTTTGGTGTGCACTGTACGGTGCCTGTAAATATGCGCGTTATCCACCAGATTAAACGTGATGCGATCGTTATTCCGGAATATGTCTTTTCATTAATACAGCAAGCCAAACTGTCTATAAATCAAGTAACGGCTCTTATTCTGGTCTTTTTAACTAGATCTAGAACTAGAAAAACAGCACGTCTTAAAAAAACACCCTTTATATGCGTATGTAAGTGTATATACAATACATTACGTAGATAGTTGCATTAGTACTACACAATACGTACATACTCCTATATATTTACTTAACAACGTGCCGCAATCCTCACGATGAAAAGGCGAATAAATTGAAGAAAATTAAAAAAAAATGGAACATTTCAAAATCGGATATTATCAGTAACAAAAGATTAAAAAAAAAAACATTCTTCACAAACAAAAACTTGCAAAAAATAAAATTTTTCCAAAAGTAAAAATTATCAAAACTGAAATGTTTAATTATTCGGCAAACCAATTTGGAAAAATCTGTTATAAACTCAACGAAACATTCATACATACTTACGTGCATTACTTAGCGGTTTTTCTAGAAATACCTGTAAATTGTAGACCGCATATAATTAGCTGATTGAACCTTAAGTCGCCATATTGTGAAACTCAAAAATATTAAAAAAAAAATATTGATAAACTTCACGTAGTGCTCTTACCTAATTTTCGCTCTTTTTTTGCTCCCTTCGAAACTATAATACTAGCGGCTTTTGCATTTTGTAAAATAATTTCTGTGCTTATAAATGTGTCAATTTTTAATTTTAATATCATTAAATATTTTATGTTATTATTTCACTCAAAACTTAATATTTTTTAATAATCTGCTACTATTATTATTCAACGAAAAAGGAAAAACCAGAGCGAATTTTCACATTTGTGGAGTATGTCTACTTGATTAGTATTCTTTCTTGATTTTCTGCCACATACATTTTGGATGGTTTAAGTGTATACAAATTTATCGATACTAAGCTTTTTCGGCCGAACATCTGCTCTAGGAGCATCTAGATGTTATCCAACAACTGCAGAGACCTTGAATTTTAAGCCGCGAAAAAATGAAAGAATTTCAGGAAGAACTTTTTATTTATGAAATACCTCCGCTTACACTGCTGAACGAATGAGGTAAAGATCATACAAACAAATGTACCAGTTAAAACCCACCCTCAAACTAGTGTTTCGAAGAGATCCAACTAGTCAGTTACTACATTTTAAGCAACTGGTATGACGATGAAGCGTCAGTTTTATACTAGTAAAATACTGGTTAATGCATATCGAACTAATAATTCACAGAAGTAAAAAATATTGCTTGCAAACATATTCGAACCTTGAATGTCATATATGATCGCAACCAACTCTATGCACTAGGCTATCGTAAGAGTAGGAATGGTAATATAATATGATGAACTCATCTTAAAAATACCAGTCTATAGTTTACTCTAAGCCCCTGCTGGACGCCTGATGAAATTATCTGTTGAGCTTTTTATTTAATTGCCAAAGATGTCCTCGGAGTTATATTTTCAAAATAATTTTCTTTTTGCGACCAGAGAACCTACTCTTTCTCAGCTTCCACCAGCAAGCAATGCATCGAATACTTTTATAGCTGGAGTTTTTACAACCATTCAGGCAACGCAACGTAGCCAACGTAGTCAACATTCATCTCGCTCCCTTATTCAGTTTGGCTAAAGCAAAATTGACAGCGCTGTTTTTTGATGCTGATGATGTTAGTTAATAAAAGGCTTCTACCTTCTCCACAAAGTTATGCGATTCGCATTATTTTCTACAACCTTAATATAAAGAAGTCAAACGATAAAAATTCACCCTGCTTAAAAACCTCGTTCAACATCATCAACATAATTCCTTTCCGACTCTGACCGAGCTTTTCATATTCCTCAGCGTAAGTACACATTTACCGTACGTTTAACTGATTTCGATATAATAAATTTAGACAGAAGTATGGCGGTATTTAAATAGTTCAGTTATTAGAACATCACGTTTCTTCCCTTTGCTACTCTCCAAACAATCGGTATTCTAGCTTCAGTGGTAGTGTAGTAAAAAAGAACTTATTCCATCGTTATTGATTGTGGCTTCGAATATCTGAGCATAGCTTTTTGACTACAATTCAGCCAGCTGAAGAAACATGGCATGAAACTTTCTGAATACCTGCATCATGTCGGCCTGGAAACCTTTTGTAAGTACTTGCATCATGTCAAAGAATTTTCATGCGTTATTCTTATCGGCCAGCTACTCAAACCCTTTATACTCACGTATTTCACCTCTTTCTTTTACCGAATTTTGTATACTAACTTAACTGCACATGCATAGTTGCCCTCCGAGTGTATTGCTCTTCGTAAAAATCCATCAGCCGTTCGGGCGCGGCTTAGAAAAAAACATCAAAACGTTAAGTAACAATTCTTCCATTATTTTTGCATTAAATGGAAGGCTTTTTCCATTTCGAAGATAATATTTTTGTGTCTCTCTCATAACAACCGTTGTGTATATTTCCAAATAAATTGGGACAATGATTTTTACCGACTTCTCTCGAGGCCAATTTTTCACTGGTCAAATCATTCGCCATAGACAGGAACAAGAGGTAAACACTTGGTGCAAGGTCCACACTATAAGGTGAATGCATAATAAGATAGAAAAAGGAGTTTGGTCGCAAGGACGCAGCTTATATTGGATGATGCCTTGCCAATTCCACCAAATATACAACAAAACCTTCCTGGCCGTCAAATCTGGCTTGGAGACCGTTTGTGCCTCATGAACTCATGTGTGGGAACCACTTACAACTTCTTTGTGTATTCAACTTATTTTCAAATGGTCCCAAGTTGATATTTGTGCAATATTTAGCTCTTAAGCAATCGAAAAAGTCCTCACGTGATGGTCATAATCGACGATTTCTATTATTTTATTGACTACAATTTTCTACAATTAGTCCTCCACAGCATGGAGCATCTTTTCCATCAAAATTATCAGAACGAAATAGGTGGAACCAAAATCGCGTATGATTGAGTATCTGCACCATAAACACTGTTCACATTTTCAACTGCCTAACAGGTGTTTTCGTTTGTTTGCTGGTGTCCATCTTTGACGTGCGTTCAAACACTAGTGAGATAAGTGATCAATACTTCTTTCATTATCTTTTTAATACAAAATATCATCCATCGCATTTATAGAACGAGAGATACAGCTCACTAAATCCATTTATTGCAAAAATAATGGATGATTCGTTACTTATCCAATATAGAACTTTCTTAACTCTGCCTTTCTATTTGACCACGATAATTATAATGAAATATATATATTATATATAATATTGAACATTTATTTTTTTTTGTTAATTTTTTAAATAATATTCATGTGTTTTTTTTAACATTTTAACAAATCATATGCACAAATTTTTTTTAAATTTGATACATTTTTATGAGAAGAATGTTCTTTTCATCACACAAAACTTAAGCTCGCATGTGTTAAAGTAACTCAATATTTTATGTAAAAACTTTTACGCGCTAACACATTTAACTTTTTCTTATAAGTATGTATATATGTACGTATGCATTCATTCAGTGTCGCTCTCACCTTCACAACTTTGCTCAAATTTCACTTTACTTTTGCCACCTCTTCTACGCCCATTCTCTCTCGCGCTCTTGATGTCTTGATGCCTTTGTTTCAATGTTTGTGGTATTGCCTAAATGTGTGCAACAAATATTTTTATTCACATTTATATTATCTATGTCAATTATTTTTATACGAATATTATCGTATTTTATATGTGAAAATAATCATTGTTCTAACATTCATAATTACTGTCGTAAAATCATGAATCACAACCATTGTTAAAGCCGACAGCACCTTAACTAACTCTTCTCCGCCATTTGAAATAAAATTAAGTAAATGCTATATATTTATATTTGGGTATATACAATAATATATTTAACAAGCAAAAATGAAAAGAGTCGCCCAACGTCCATCCACACACCCACATTCCGTTAAACCAAATAAGCAAAAAACTTGT